TCCCCAGACTCATTGACATATCTCTCGAATGGGAGGGATGTGAAAGATATGAGTCTGTTCCGTACGTGCATGAGCGTTACGCTCGCCACGGCTTCACCAGGATGGTTTCTGGTCGCGCGCGCGCGAATAGAATAGACATTCATTTCATGAATTCAATGTGATTTATTTGAAGCGAAAGGAAAGAAAAACTAATCCATCGTAATGAGTCTATTCGATTGAAAAGCATTGAACACGATGATTCCAATGATCGACGACATAGAGATTGCCATGTCGATCGAAGGACAAACCGGTGGGAGCGTTGAACTGATTTTCTCCTTCTCCTTTACCCTTTCCATCTACAATGACAGTGCCCTGTTTCGCTCCTTTAAGCCAACGCATCACTCGTTGATTCAACGAGTCTGCCACATAGATGGTACCCAAAGTATCGACGAACAGTCCTTTAGGATATGACAATTGTGTCAGAGCATTTCCCTGGCCTTGACCTCCAGCGACGACAATTCCTTCTTTTGCACCTTTATCCCATTTCATTACACGATGATTCCAGTTGTCTGACACGTAGACATTCTGTTGTTGATCGACAAAGATGTAAGTCGGCCAGCTGAGTTGCTTGAGACCAGCACCTTCGCCATTGCCACCAGCCACAATAGTTCCATTCTTGTCTCCTATTTGATATCGTCTTACTTCATGTTTGATGTAGTCAGAGATGTAGAGATATCTCTGATCATCCATGGCCAATCCCCAATACGAGACGTGATCGATGAGGATTTTTCCTTGAGTTGTACCACTACGACGAGACCATCGTACGACTCGTTGATTCCCTCGATCACAAATAATGAGACTATCCGTCTCTTTGTCAATCAATACATCGGTTGGTCGATCCAATTGATTCAATCGATTTTCTTGGTCATGACCACCAGCTACTACTTGTCCGTTCGTATCACCCATCTTCCATTGGATGATACGATGATTGCCGAAGTCAGCGATGACAATCGTTTGATCATCATCATCAACGAAGAGACCACCAGGACGGTCGAGTTCATTAGTGGCATTGCCTTTTCCACGGCCTCCAGCAACGGTGACCCCATTCTGTTTCCATCGGGCATCAACCGTAATATTAGGAATTACTACAATGAACAAAAAAGAAAAGAAATCGTCGTTATCGAAGAGATCTCGTGGGAGCAAGCGCTACAAATATGGCATTCATCTTTCAGAATACTCATTCCACAGATAAAAGTTCAGAAGTCTTTTCCTAGTTTCCTATAAAAAAGAAGGATTTCATAACGATTCTTACATCTATGTTACTTTTAGTTTTTGCCAAGACCTTTTTGATTCTAAAAACAACACCTGGAGATTGCTGTAAGGAGGTTCTCGAAGAAAGAGTAATGCTAATTCGATGAAAGCTTTTGATAGAAAAACATAGAGATCTGAGGATTTTATTCGGAATTGCGAGAATGCAGAATCTTTTTGTCGAATGATCATTTATATGAACATCAGACAAGAAGAACTATGTATAATTTCTAAACTGAGAAAATCCTGAGAAAATTTTATTTACATCTTGTTAGAAGGATGTTAAATTTAATCCTTGCTGTTGGAGAACTTTGAGGATGCTTTTCACGTCATAGGACAATTCAAGTGGATCTATAGAATTTGATCTTATATATAAAGAAGAATGTTTATCTGTCTGTCTGTTCTTTATACATTCCCACACCGTAGGATCGAATGCAATCAAACTTTCCAGGAATTCTCCTCTCATCCAGGAGAAGGTCAACACCTGTCTTTTTTCAAAAACAATTGGTCCTTCGTCCGCAAAAAGCATGCCTATGTTACTGACCAATCAGATTGCAGTATTCGTTACTATAGAAGTGCTATTGAGTAGCACTTCGTGAACATACAGAAAACATGGAACTACAGGTTTTCAAGGACGATGAGTTCGAATTAGGGATTCAATCGCCTTAAAATCCGATTGGTTGCCCGGAAATCAATAGGAATCGAGTTTTTAGAAAACGAATATCAAGGGTGACCCATGTCATACACAAATCCAGCTTTTAGGGAAGTTGATCCCTGGAGGTCGTGTGAGGCGGGGATTTCGAATAAATAGTCTATGACGCTGAAAACTTGTGCGTCATAGATATCGATTCCTTAGATTACTAAAGGATCTGTCCCGCAAAAATCTTTCTGTCTGTCTTTCTTTGCAATCAATCGGAATTTAGTGTGATTTCAGTAGTACAAAATGCGACGTTCTAGATCAATTAGATGTGTCGTTGTGCTTAGTTTCGATCAAAACGGATTTTTCTTGCAACGCTATCGAAGAATCAATTGTCCATGTGGGCTCCTCACTAGAAACACAACTATACAGCTCAGGAACCGGGAATGTGACCAAGTGCGACCGGGGTCGATCGAGATGGACATATGCTCTTATAAATGCTTGACCAAGATAAAAAGTCGATAGCACTCATAAGTTTCATCAAGTTCTTCTTGATCTAGACGTGTAAGGACGAAGAATCCTTCACTTCTGATCAATTTTTCAATGTCAGTATTTCATATCCGTCGAGAGCGAGAGTAGCCGTGGCTGAGACTTAAAATACGTTCAAGAGCCATAACCAGGACCGGAACAAAAAATAGAGTTTTATGCGTGTCTACTCCCTACTGATTAGGTTTTCTGAGATGTTCTCGAGCGCAATAGGAGTTTTGCTTGCATATATTAAGCCTGAACTTTTCCAGGTAACGCCAGGTATTTCCGCTAGTGACTTATAATTTTGAAATGGTGAGAAGAGAAATACTAATCCAATCGGAGTTCTCCATAGGATAATATATGGATATGTAGATTTTATACGTAATTTAGAACGCGTGGATCTTAATTAGATAGTCAAAATTTGTTTTTGATAGATGCATAATTGAATTCTTTACAAATTTGTATTTGTCTTCATTTAAAACAACATAGAAATGCGAACACAAAATATTTCAGCATGTAAATAAACGATTGGATTATTAAAATGTACTTTTTACATACTTCAAGTTCTTGAAATCGAACAAAAACAAACTCATAAAAAAGCGTTCTTTTTCAATTTGAATATTTCCATCATAAAATTTATATTCATATTTGCTTCTCTGATAGGAAAATTTTTCTTACCACTCGCTGCAAAAAAAGTTAGCAAATTATACGACTGTCTCAACTTTGATATATAATCTGTTTATTCATCTCTTTCTGAGCAAAATCAACAGATGTAGAGAGAAATCCAACTTCGCATACTTATTTATGTTGTAATAAAAATAGAATAATTTCAATAGCTCTAAGAAAAGTCGACTCTCAAATAAATCAGCAACACATTCTTAATGTGATAAAAATAAAAGAAAATAAAGCATCTTGAAAATTTTTATGATCGTACAAGTATTAGAAACATGAGAGAAAAGTATACAACCGTAACTATCCTACGTCGCAAGTAGATCAAAATCATATTTTAAACTCTGAGGAAAATAATATGTAAACAAAGTAAACAAATAGAAGAAGAAAGGGTGCGGGTATACTTCGTGTGAAGACAATACACACCTACACCTACACCCACACCCTTTGTCCGAATAGAATTTTGAAATTCCATTCCATTCATTTTTTATGAGAAGCAGTTGCAGAGCAGTCATAGCGTGATGCACGTATCTGAAGGTGGATGACGATACGTGTGTGTGCTTTGTTTATTTATTGTAGGGTTTTTTGTATGTTAGATGCTTTTTTGCAACTTTAGTCTTTCTCAAATAGAGCTCACCGATCCTCTAGTCACTCACTGACACAACAAGTCTAGCATAATCAACAAAACACAACATTGTGCATCTTTCGATCGATATTAAAAACAGATCAAATGAAAATTTACAAGTCAAACATTTCTGAAACCGATACTCAACTCGTCATGTTCTCCATATATAAAAAGAAACATCACTTACTGCGCATTGTATTTATTTTGGTTGTGATTTCCGATGTGGTAGTTGTAGTAATGGTGATAGTGGACATTGCGTCGGCTAAAAGAAAATCAACATTGTGTGGTTATTAATTCTTCAGGATACTTTGCTCTCTACATAGAAGCTGAAGTTGAGGGCGTGGCAAATCTCAAACTGTTACCAGTTTTGGTTGAATGACATAGTATGTGCTATAATTGTAAAAATAAGTTATCCAGTTTCTGATAAGCCGAAAACTATCATCGTACATCATATATCAGATATTTACTTTTGTATCAAAAGTTTTCAGTTTCAACGCATAATAAAGTAAATCAACACATTTATCTATCTATATGTATGAAAATTCACCAGATAACCAGATATCAGATATTTACTATTGCATGAAAGTTTTCAGTTTCAATACATAATCATCTATCTATATGTATGAAAATTCAGCAGATATCAGATATCAGATATTTACTTTTGTATGAAAGCTTTCAGTTTCAATACATAATCATCTATCTATATGTATGAAAATTCACCAGATATCAGATATCAGATATTTACTTTTGTATGAAAGTTTTCAGTTTCAATACATAATCATCCATCTATATGTATGAAAATTCAGCAGATATCAGATATCAGATATCAGATATTTACTTTTGTATGAAAGCTTTCAGTTTCAATACATAATCATCTATCTATATGTATGAAAATTCAACAGATATCAGATATCAGATATTTACTTTTGTATGAAAGTTTTCAGTTTCAATGCATAATCATCTATCTATATGTATGAAAATTCAGCAGATATCAGATATCAGATATTTACTTTTGTATGAAAGTTTTCAGTTTCAATGCATAATCATCTATCTATATGTATGAAAATACAGCAGATATCAGATATCAGATATTTACTTTTGTATGAAAGTTTTCAGTTTCAATACATAATCATCTATTTATATGTATGAAAATTCAGCAGATAACCAGATATCAGATATTTACTTTTGTATGAAAGTTTTCAGTTTCAATGCATAATCATCTATCTATATATATGAAAATTCACCAGATAACCAGATATCAGATATTTGCTTTCGTATGAAAGTTTTCAGTTTCAATTCATAACAAAGTAAATCGAAGGCATGGAAAATTCCTATTTCCAGGAAATTCAAATTTTTCAACATCTCTGATCCTCAGTTATTATGGAATATCCTTTATGGTAGGTAAGTTCTGGACCACCCTGTAGATATCATGGGTTGCATTGGGTTGGGTTGGGTTAGGCAGTAGTGTCAAACGTGAAAATTGAATTCAAGTATTCAAATATTACTTCAACTATTCAAGTTTGCAAGTATTCAACTATTCCAGTTTCATAAATGCTTCGCGGCCACAGCGCCTACTCCATCCTCGGACCCACGCGCTCCTTCGAAGCGCATTGTGGGTCCTGCGGTATTTTGATAAAAGACTCCTTTTTGCCTTCTGATCAGTCACGGGGGTTTCTTTGTTTTCTGCTTGG